CCTTCCCCGACGCGGCGCCGGCGCGCTCGCTGTCCCCGCCGCGCGCCGCCGCCCCCCACGCCCCCGGCAAGGCTTTTGGGGCGAAACCGCTGGCTTTTTGGAGCAAGTTCGACGTGGCCGACTGGCTGGAGTCGCTGAACCTGGGCGAGCACCGGGCGCGCTTCCTGCACAACGAGATCGACGGCACGCACCTGCCCGCGCTCACCAAGGAGGATTACATCGACCTGGGCGTGACGCGCGTGGGGCACCGCATGAACATCGACCGCGCCCTGCGCCTCTTCCTCGAGAGGTGATGGAGACGCACCTGAGGGGCGGGGGGGCGGCTGTGAGGGGGGGACCCCCGGGTGCCGGGCTGAGACCCCCAGGTGTGAGGGAGGCACCCCCAGGTACCGGGGAGAGACTCCCAGGAATAAGGGGGAGACTCCCAGGTACCGGGGAGGGACCCCCAGGTGTGAGGGGGAGACTCTCAGGTACCGGAGTGACACCCCCAGGTGTGAGGGAGGGACCCCCAGGTACCGACGAGAGACTCCCAGGAATAAGGGGGAGACTCCCAGGTACCGGGGAGGGACCCCCAGGTGTGAGGGGGAGACCCCCAGGTACCGGGGAGAGCCCCCTAGGTGTGAGGGGGAGACTCTCAGGTGTGAGGGGAGGACCTTCAGGTACCGGGGAGAGACCCCCAGGTGTGAGGGGGGAACCCCCAGGTACCGGGGAGAGACCCCTAGGTGTGAGGGGGAGACTCTCAGGTACCAGAGTGACACCCCCAGGTGTGAGGGAGGGACCCCCAGGTGTGAGGGGGAGACTCTCAGGTGTGAGGGGAGGACCTTCAGGTACCGGGGAGAGACCCCTAGGTGTGAGGGGGAGACTCTCAGGTACCAGAGTGACACCCCCAGGTGTGAGGGAGGCACCCCCAGGTACCAGGGAGAGACTCTCAGGTGTGAGGGAGGGACCCCCAGGTAGCGCAGTGAGACTCCCAGGAATAAGGGGGAGACCCACAAATACCGAGGAGGGACCCCCAGGTAGCGCAGTGAGACCCCCAGGTGTGGGGGAGGGACTCCCAGGTACCGAGGAGGGACCCCCAGGTGTGGGGGGGAGACCCCCAGGTGTGGGGGTGAGATCCACAGGTACTGGGGAGAGAGGGGGGAGGCGAGTGTGCAACGGGGTCCAGGTGTGCAACGGGATCCGGGTGTGCAACGGGATCCAGGTGTAAAAGCGGGTCCGAGTGTGCCACAGGACAGAGTGACACCCCCAGGTGTGAGGGAGGCACCCCCAGGTACCAGGGAGAGACTCTCAGGTGTGAGGGAGGGACCCCCAGGTAGCGCAGTGAGACTCCCAGGAATAAGGGGGAGACCCACAAATACCGAGGAGGGACCCCCAGGTAGCGCAGTGAGACCCCCAGGTGTGGGGGAGGGACTCCCAGGTACCGAGGAGGGACCCCCAGGTGTGGGGGGGAGACCCCCAGGTGTGGGGGTGAGATCCACAGGTACGGGGGAGAGAGGGGGGAGGCGAGTGTGCAACGGGGTCCAGGGGTGCAATGGGATCCGAGTGTGCCACGGGATCTCGACTTAAGACTGTGAAAGGATCTGAGTGTGCAACGGGATCCGAGTGTGCCACGGGATCTCGACTTAAGACTGTGAAAGGATCTGAGTGTGCAACGGGATCCGAGTGTGCCACGGGATCTCGACTTAAGACTGTGAAAGGATCTGAGTGTGCAACGGGATCCGAGTGTGCCACGGGATCTCGACTTAAGACTGTGAAAGGATCTGAGTGTGCAACGGGATCCGAGTGTGCCACGGGATCTCGACTTAAGACTGTGAAAGGATCTGAGTGTGCAACGGGATCCGAGTGTGCCACGGGATCTCGACTTAAGACTGTGAAAGGATCTGAGTGTGCAACGGGATCCGGGTGTAAAAGCGGGTCCGAGTGTGCCACAGGACCCAGGTGTGCAACGGGATCCGAGTGTGCAAGGGGATCTCAGTGTGCAACGGGGTCCAGGTGTGCAATGGGATCCGAGTGTGCCACGGGATCTGGACTTAAGACTGTGAAAGGATCTGAGTGTGCAACGGGATCCGGGTGTGCAACGGGATCTCCATGTGCAAGGGGATCCGGGTGTGCAACGGGATCTCAATGTGCAAGGGGATCCGGGTGTGCAAGGGGATCTCGGTGTCCAGTGGGATCCGGGTGTGCAACGGGACCTGGATATAAGGCTGTGAAAGTGTCTGAGTGTGCAAGGGGATCTGGGTGTGCCGCAGGATCTGAGTGTGCCCTGGGATCTGGGTGTGCAATGGGACTTAGATATGGGGATGTAACGGGATCCGAGTGTGCAACGGGATCCAGGTGTGAAACGAGATCTGAGTGTGCAACGGGATCCGGGTGTGCAATGGGATCTCAGTGTGAAACGGGATCTGGGTGTGCCACGGGATCCGAGTGTGCAATGGGATCCGGGTGTGCAACGGGATCCAAGTGTGAAACAAGATCTGAGTGTGCAACGGGATCCGAGTGTGCAATACGATCCAAGTGTGAAACAGGATCTCAGTGTGAAACGGGATCTGAGTGTGAAACAGGACCTGAGTGTGCAACAGGATCCAAGTGTGAAACAGGATCTGAGTGTGCAACAGGATCCAGGTGTGCAACGGGATCCGAGTGTGCAACGGGATCTGGACATGGGAATGTGATGGGATCCGAGTGTGCAACGGGATCTGAGTGTGCAATGGGATCCAAGTGTGAAACGGGATCTGAGTGTACAACGGGATCCAAGTGTGAAACAGGACCTGAGTGTGCAACAGGATCTCAGTGTGAAACGGGATCTGAGTGTGCAACACGATCCGAGTGTGCAATGCGATCCAAGTGTGAAACAAGATCTGAGTGTGCAACACGATCCGAGTGTGCAATGCGATCCAAGTGTGAAACAAGATCTGAGTGTGCAACACGATCCGAGTGTGCAATGCGATCCAAGTGTGAAACAAGATCTGAGTGTGCAACACGATCCGAGTGTGCAATGCGATCCAAGTGTGAAACAAGATCTGAGTGTGCAACACGATCCGAGTGTGCAATGCGATCCAAGTGTGAAACAAGATCTGAGTGTGCAACACGATCCGAGTGTGCAATGCGATCCAAGTGTGAAACAAGATCTGAGTGTGCAACACGATCCGAGTGTGCAATGCGATCCAAGTGTGAAACAAGATCTGAGTGTGCAACACGATCCGAGTGTGCAACGGGATCCGAGTGTGCAATACGATCCAAGTGTGAAACAGGATCTCAGTGTGAAACGGGATCTGAGTGTGCAACGGGATCCGAGTGTGCAATGGGATCTGGGTGTGCAACGGGATCCAAGTGTGAAACAAGATCTGAGTGTGCAACACGATCCGAGTGTGCAACGGGATCCGAGTGTGCAATACGATCCAAGTGTGAAACGGGATTTGAGTGTGAAACGGGATCTGAGTGTGAAACAGGACCTGAGTGTGCAACAGGATCCAAGTGTGAAACAGGATCTGAGTGTGCAACAGGATCCAGGTGTGCAACGGGATCCGAGTGTGCAACGGGATCTGGACATGGGAATGTGATGGGATCCGAGTGTGCAACGGGATCTGAGTGTGCAATGGGATCCAAGTGTGAAACGGGATCTGAGTGTACAACGGGATCCAAGTGTGAAACAGGACCTGAGTGTGCAACAGGATTCAGGTGTGCAACGGGATCTCAGTGTGAAATGGGATTCAAGTGTGCAACGGGACCTGAGTGTGCAACAGGATCTGGACATGGGAATGTAATGGGATCCCAGCATGCAGCTGGATCTGAGCGTGCACCGGGATCCGAGTGTGTAACGGGATCTCGGTGTTCAAAGGGATCTGAGCGTGCAACAGGATCTGGACATGGGAATGTAATGGGATCCCAGCATGCAGCTGGATCTGAGTGTGCAACGGGATCCGAGTGTGAAATACGATCCAAGTGTGAAACGGGATTTGAGTGTGAAACGGGATCTGAGTGTACAACGGGATCCAAGTGTGAAACAGGACCTGAGTGTGCAACAGGATCCAGGTGTGCAACGGGATCTCAGTGTGAAATGGGATTCAAGTGTGTAACGGGACCTGAGTGTGCAACGGGATCTGGACATGGGAATGTAATGGGATCCCAGCATGCAGCTGGATCTGAGCGTGCAACGGGATCCGAGTGTGTAACGGGATCTCGGTGTTCAAAGGGATCTGAGCGTGCAACAGGATCTGGACATGGGAATGTGATGGGATCCGAGTGTGCAACGGGATCCGAGTGTGCAATACGATCCAAGTGTGCAACAGGATCTCAGTGTGAAACGGGATCTGAGTGTGCAACAGGATCCAGGTGTGCAACGGGATCTCAGTGTGAAATGGGATTCAAGTGTGTAACGGGACCTGAGTGTGCAACGGGATCTGGACATGGGAATGTAATGGGATCCCAGCATGCAGCTGGATCTGAGCGTGCAACGGGATCCGAGTGTGTAACGGGGTCTCGGTGTTCAAAGGGATCTGAGCGTGCAACGGGATCTGGACATGGGAATGTGATGGGATCCGAGTGTGCAACGGGATCCGGGTGTGCAACGGGATCCGGGTGTGCAACGGGATCTGAGTGTGCAACGGGATCTGGACATGGGAATGTGATGGGATCCGAGTGTGCAACGGGATCCGGGTGTGCAATGGGATCTGAGTGTGCAACGGGATCCAAATGCACAACAGGATCCAAGTGTGCAACAGGATCTGAGTGTGCAAGGGGATCTGGACATGGGAATGTGATGGGATCCGAGTGTGCAACGGGATCCCAGGCTGAAACGGGATCCAGGTGTGCAACGAGATGCCCGTGTGCAAAGGGACCCGAGTGTGCCCTGGAACCCGATTGTGCAAGGGGGGCCCGGGCGTGCAAGGGGGCCCGGGCGTGCAAGGGGGCCGCGGCGCGGGCGCGGGGCCGGGCGTGCCCCGGGAGCTGAGTGTGCAACGGGACGTGGACAGCGGGCGCCGGGACGTGGACGTGGGCATCCGCTGGGACGTGAGCGTGCAACGGGAGCTGAGTGTGCAACAGGAGATGGACATGGGCGCCCGGCGGGACCTGAGCGTGCCCCGGGAGCTGAGCGTGCAACGGAAGCTGAGTGTGCAACGGGAGGCGGAGGCGCAGAGGAGGCTGAGCGTGCAACAGGAGCTGGGCGTGCAACGGGAGGCGGAGATCCAGAGGAAGCTGAGCGTGCAACAGGAGCCGGGCGTGCCGCGGCGGCTGGAGATGGGCGTGCAATGGGAGCCGGGCGTGCAACGGGAGGCGGGGTGGGAGGCGGAGATGAGCGTGCAACGGGAGCTGGGCGTGCAAGCGGCTCCGGGCGTGCGGTGGGACGTGGAGATGGGCGTGCAACAGGAGCCGGGCGCGAGCGTGCAAGGGCACGTGGGCGTGCGGCGGGACGCGGAGGCGAGCGTGCAATGGGAGCCGGGCGTGCAAGGGGAGCTCCTGGGCGTGCAACAGGCGGCGGCGGAGGCGGGCGTGCAACAGAACATGATTGTGCAAGAGGCGGTGATTGTGCAACGCGACCTGAACGCGCCGCCAGAGCCGGGCGTGCAAGAGGCCCCGAGCGTGCAACGGGAGCCGCAGCCGGGCGTGCAAGAGCCCCTGGGCGTGCAAGGGGACGCGGGAGTGTGACCGGGCGTGCAAAGGGGGGGGCGGGTCCGCCCTCCGGGCCGGGCACGCGCGCGTGCGAGGCGCGCGGGCGCG